AGAATAATCCATGCACAGCATCGTTACAGTGCTATGCTAAGCAGAGTTACACTATTCTAATCAACTGAAAACCAATGGGCTTAAAAGTAAATAACTGTACTTAGGGTAGCACTGTTGTTAGCCTTTAAAACAGCCCTGTATTATTGTTGTTGCTTTTTTTTGTTGTATGCACTATAGGGGCCTGATAGGGGCAACCTAGGAATTCTCGTGGCTGAGCTGAGATTTGAACTACGAATTTCCAAGTTTTACTGCTTCAGTCCATAAGAAAATGTCTAATTTGAATAGTGCAATGAAAACAAAAGTACTGTGTGCCAGAAGTTCCTGGGGGACAAGGAATGAATTTAAAAGGACAACTTACAGGTGATTCAAAAAGCAAGCAAGCTGTGTCACATGCTACAGAAGGCTAGATCTCCAGAACCATGAGGCAACTGGGCCTTGGGAGAGGGGATAGAGGGGAAACTCCCTAAGGCTTGGTATTTCAATTGGGCCATGGAGATTTTCTTGGTGGACCAAAGTCCAGATCCAGACCTTCAGTACATAAATTAAAAAGGCATTCTCAGAGACTGCCTTGCCTCCACACTCTGAATTCACTTTCCTTAGAGACTTGTTAAAGTTCAAGTCTAAACATCTTCTAGAAGCGGAATAAGATCTATTAAAATTGACTTTTGTTGGCCACGGCAAGAATGAATTTAATGAAGGGGGGGCAGTGTTCCCTCTAAGCTGAGTTAGTGTGAGCTAGCTCACAGTTTTTTAGCCTCTGGCTCACACATTTTTGTCTTAGCTCAGGAAGGATGGCACCAGAGCAAACTAATTTATGCAGTAGCCAAATCACAACTTTAATGCTGGTAGCTCACAAAGTAGAATGTTTGCTCTCAGAACTCCATAGCTTAGAGGGAGCACTGAAGGGGGGTGGGTAGCAAAAAACTCTGTCCTGAGCCCTTTGGGGTACTATAAATTGATATTCATTTAAAAAATACACCTGTGATGCAAAGAATAGTGGTAGCATGTAGGGGTACATAATGTTCTGCCCACCACCACTACTGTGGTTCTAACTATTCAGACCTTAACTAAAGGACAACACAAAGTTCTCTCCCAGACCAAACCAACAGTTTTTTTTAGTGCTTCAGCAGTTCAACCAATAGCTCTCTGTGACTGTTGTCATTTCTGAATCCTCAAAGGAAAGTGGAAGTATTGAACAGAACAATGCCCGTCAGTAATCCAATTCAAGAAGAGCCATAATAAACCTATACTGGGGTAAGGAACCAATGGAACGCAGGCCCTTTTGCTCAGCATGCAGGGCTAAGCAACAAAGGCAAGGTCCTGGCTCCTGGGTACTGGCAGCAGCAGCAGCACTGAGACCAGCAGCATGAGAGAAGGCAAGGCAATTGACTTGGCTTATGCTGGTCATCACCTCCCAGACTAACACAGCCATCAGTGAGGGAAGCCCCTGAGACACTATTAGTGCCACTGGGGCTCAGCTTGCTCCCAGTGTGTCTGGCCAAGGACAACATGACACATGAACATTTTCACATGTAGACACTGCGTGTTTTTGTTACTCAGGGCAAAAAAGATTGCCTATCCCCTCCCTGTGCCATCCTGGAACAGCCATTCTATGTATGTGTGTTCTATAGCACTAATGTTGTTGTGATGTTGCCTAACTGTGAGGACTACAACCTCATCCCCCCCCAAAAAAAACAGGAAGCCTGGCCATGTCCTCCTTTCTGGATTCATGCATAATTGCCAGCAGGCTTCTCTGCTCCCATGGACACACATATATACACATACTCACAGACAGAAACAGCTTGCTGCAGGTTTACAAGCATGCCTGCCCGTGACTGAATGAGTGCGCAGTCTGCAGGAAATACCACTAAATTAGCTAACATCGAGCACCTCTGGTTGCTAGCTTTGCATTAGTGAGATTTACTTAAAACGTCCCAAAAGTAAAACAGAGCTTGTCTCTGTGCAAGACTCAGGGCCATGTACTCGATGTTATAAAAAGTCATGCTGTCTCACAGTGGAGATTTACAATTCAATCCCTGTTGCTGCAATCTGGTAAGAAGAGGGTCACTGAAGAACGTCACACTGAAGAATGAAACCCTTTCTCCTACAAATATGAATGCAGAGGAGTACTACCTACATGCCAGTGATCACTCTGAACCTGCTGGACGGCATCACTAGTGAACCTCAAGTGCTTCACGTGCACAAATGTTGGCTTGAACAGAAACCAAGTCATGAGGAGAACTGAATACGCAAGGAAAAAGCTGTCAAGTAAGGCTATCATTTTACAGTCAGTTCTCAGCGTAGAGCTCCACTTCAGACTGGGCCACAAGGTCAGCGACTGTCCATCTTGAGAATTTACCCTTCAGCGGGAATAGACTATGTCAAGGCACAGGAGCTGGGGAGCCATACTAGCAGCCAAAATCCGGCATGTACCTTGCCTCATGTCCTCCAAATGAGAACAGTCTAATTATGGTGCCAGCCTTACAGGAGAATCTCTGCTCCACATGAGATTTTCAAACAGCTCCTCTGCCACTCCAGCATAGTTCATATATACACCCTTAGGTGCAAGTAAATCCTATGGAACTTAGTGGGATTTCCAGCATAGCTAGCATACTAAAATAGAGGTAGGAATCACTGTGAATATACATCTAAAAAGCAACTGGATGTCATGGGTACACTGTGGGGGGGGGAATGGATGTCAAATATAATAAGAAGGAAGACAACAGATGTCAGATGATATTTCTTAATAGCTGTGTTGGGCCCAATTCGTGGAGACACCAAGTGTTCTACAAGCAAGCAGCAGTGCTCCAACCCCAGACAAGTTGGGATAATTTTTTAAAGAAGACCAAGAGAGAAACAGGCAAACTCAAAACCATCTTCCTTGGTTACTAGTATTTTCTTTTTTTTTAAAGGCCAAATCAAGGAAGTAGACAAAACAGGAAATGCATTCAAGGTTATTTAGAACATTTGGTTACAAGGTCAGTACCCAAGAAGGTATTTCAAACCCAAGCAAATGTCCTAGGCCTGTCAAAAAATGAAATTAGTCATTAGAATCTGAGCTCTGGCTGGAGGGCATGAATCAGGCAGATGCTGAGCACAGAGGCAGACCAGGAAGGATGCCTCAGATCACTAAAGACTGAGCTAAATGGTTTGCCATAGTTGAGATGGTGCATGGGGGAGGGCAAAATGATCAAAGATAATTTTTAAATTTTCAAGGACCAAGAGGGAATCTTTGCGAAGATTGAGAGAGGTGGGAGTGGGGGAGGATACTATAACCAAAATTTAACCTGAACTAAGGTTTCTCCCTTGAACATTTTTCAATGTCAGGGCTGAGACTGAAAATAATATATGAAAAGCCGTGTTGGATCTGACCAGTGGTCCATCTAGGACAGCATTGTTTCATGCAGTGCCCAACCACCTGCCCTGAATGGCCAACAAACAGGGCACAGAGGCTAAGGCCCTCCCCTCATGCTTCCTCTTAGCCTTGGGTTTCAGAGGATGTGAGTACCCTTGCCTGAGCAAGCATGTTTCACTATTGAACCACCACAGCTCATTCACAGGTTTCCAAATGAGGGTGACTTCTGAATAGTTTTGAGCCAGTCCTGAGCCAATGTTCCCTCTAAGCTGCGGAGCCCTGTGAGCAAAAATTGCGCTTTGTGAGCTACCGGCATTAAAGTTGTGAGCGAGCAGTTTGGCTGCTGCATCAATTAGTTTGCTCTGGAGCCCTCCTTCCTCAGCTGAGACAAAAACATGTGAGCCGGAGGCTAAAAAACTGTGAGCTGGCTCACACTAACTCAGCTTAGAGGGAACACTGGTCCTGACACACATGTCTCTAAGAATGAAGCAGTCCTAGGCAGTCATATCCTCATTTCCCCTTTGACAGTGTTATCCACAGATGACATTGTTCTCCCCTCTACCTCCTTCATCTTTTGCAGCACTCCAAGGGTTTAAATTCCAGTTTAAGTTTAAGTAAAGAAACAAGCGGATAGGCCCAAGATTTGAAAGCTACTCTCCCCATCCCCTGAAATAAAGCTGGTGCTGCCATGCTGCTGAATTTGAAACCCCTGAGTGTCAGAGGTTCAGCAGAGGCCTTGCTTTTTGTACGTTTTAAGAGGCAGGAGGACACATTCAGACCAGTGATCTCATCACACCCAGAGAGCCATTGGACTCCTTGTCCTTGTTGTGACTTGAGGCTAGGTTCCATCCCAGGCCGTCTCGGCCGCAGAGAAACAGACTGATCGATCGCCTAGAAAAAGGAGAGAGCGCAAGAGCCACGCGAGGCCGTCCTTCTTGGGTCCCAGCTCGGCGAGACGCGCGCGCGAAAATGAATGAGAAGCGCCAGCCGTGACGCCCAGGGCTAGTGCAGGGGGGGCGCGGCGGAACTAAGGAACCCTCCGGGGTCAGGTCCAGGTAGCTGCTCGGCGCCGCGGTCACAGAGACACTGGCCGGGTGGAAGAGGGATTTGGGGGGGGGGGTCAGGGAGAGGAGAACGACGACGACGCCCATACGATCGAGCGGCTTTGCCGGTCTTATTTACGTCTATGAGGATGGGAGACTTTCCGCTTCCACTCCCCCCCCCTTCCCCTGTTGCACAAAGGCAGCCGTCATCCATTCTCCTCAGCACATCAGCTTCTCTCACAGAGTGGCCTCTTGTCGGAGCGTTGGTGGGAGACAGCAGCGAGTAAGGGGCAAGGGGGGGGGCAGTCCAGTTAAATTCTGCCCAGTGGGCGTCCCCCCAGGATTCCACCCCGTCTCTTTATCCCAATCCCCAGGGAATGGCGGAGAGCGCCTTGGGTGCAAAGGGGCGATTGGGCGACGCGCTCGCTCGCAGCCTGACCCGGATCTCATGGTCCACTAGAGTCCACCCTGAAGCTAGAAAGTGCCGGCAGCCCACGGATCCCAGCCAGGTCTGGATCGCGTGAGGCTGGTACCACCTGCGCGAGTCCCGAGCGCGAGGTTCTGACCCATCGGCATGGCACAGCTCCGCTTTGGTTTGGTACCTGCAAGTCCCGAGCTGCTTGTCTGGGTGGCGGCGGCGGCAGCTGAGCGCGGCCGGTTCGGTTAACAGTCAGAGCCCGGGCCCGGTGGGATCCTGTGCCGGCTCCAATCCAGGGGCGATTTAGCGCCTGTAGCTCAAGAGCAGCGATGCCTGCCCATCTCCAGCTAACGTCAGAGAGAGCCGGGGAGAGCCCCGAGGCTAGACGGGTCCTAGCGCCGCTAACAGGAAAAAAAAATACCAGAGCAGAGTCAGGTAGACTCGCAGCTAGGGGACACGGGTGGTTCCGGGAGGCGGCGGGAGACCGGAGCAGGTTCTGGACAGTAGGGAAGGTCAGACCCTAGGAAGCCACCGGGCGCAGAAACGGATCAAAACAGCTAGGGCTAGCGCTGGGATAGGATTGGCACTGGAAAAACCACGTGGGACTGTGCGGAGACCACGATGCTGATGAACCAGGAAAACCATTGGGCAAGGATTTGGATCAACTGCTATTCAGGAACAGATGGTAGACTGTGGAATTGAATATCGGATTCAGAGAGAAAAAAAACAGCAGTCCTGGGTCAGGAAGAGCAGGGGCAGAGTTATGATGGAACCTGGAGGCGGCTCGGAATTGGATCAGGACCAGAGCCAATGGCTGAAGTCGTAACAGCATTTTCCTGGGAGTAAGCCCCATTGACTAAAACGGGACTCACTTCTCAGTAGACCTACTTAGGATTGTTTCCAAAATGACTATGAGCCGCAGAACTGGATCAGAACGGCTGAAACCTCAGAACTTTACAAGTTAGAAAAAGATACACAAACCAGGACTGGGAGCAGAATAGGTTACCAGGCAGGTACATCATCAGAATACAGGATCCCAGCTCCAGAACTCTGTTTAATTCAACACAAAGGACTTGGATGGTAACAAGTAGGATAACAATGGGCTGGGCAAACATCCCATCCTCCTTAGACAGTGGGAATAATTTCAGAACCAGAACCTATAAGGAGCTCGGGTCAGATGGCCTTCCAGGTGACCAAAAAAGAAAAGAAAACATTTTGTACATTTGAAAGGCCCCTTGTTCATTCCCTGCCTCATTTACCTATCCCTGTTTCTAGAGTCACCTGCATTTCTGCATTTTGTGATAATTAAAACCAGTGAACATTGTGCAAGACAGCAGCTAGGTGATACGTGGTCTAAAACTAATGCCCGATTTTGTTTCTCCTTGCCACCCTGACCTTGGAGCAACTGATATATGCTGACCTATGGATGCTATGCAAGTCCCATATATACGCACAATCATCATCTACATCATCATCTGATCATCTGAACTGGTGTGAAGTGAGTAATACAAACTATATGAAATGATTTGAACCACCCTGTGTTGGTGTAAGAATATGCACACTTTAGAACTGTACAGAGTTCTTCACTAGGCAAAAGAAAAGTGCCATGCAGAGCAAAACAGCTTACTTATGCCTTTTTTTTTTAGTTTAAAGAGAAATTTTATTTTCATAAGATTAGTGATAGGAGCAAAACATTGAAGCTGGATAAATTTGGTTAAAGAATAATAAGAAAAGTTTCTTATTGTTCACATACGTACTGAATTGTGTAACTTTCAAGGAAGAATATATCAGAGCATGCTACATTGGCTGTTATGCAGTAACCTTGGCAACCAAAGTAACCTAGCCTAGTGTAGCATCACAAATGCTGCAATGATGTCACTTCCAAACACCTCACATGTGGGCAAATCCTTTCTCAGGATATTTCCTGCACTTGACTAATAAGCAGTGTGCTCTGAAGAACATGGCTTCTCTCCTAACATAAAACCATTTTCTGTTCATTATTTTGATTTATCACAGGCATACGACAAGCTTATTCTGGATATTTAACCAACATTTTCCATTCCATGAGCATATATACACTTTTAAAACACAAGTGACTTCACGTTCCTGGGATCCTCAGACTTTGACAGCAGCCATGAAATTAAAAGACGCCTGCTCCTTGGGAGGAAAGTGATGGCGAACCTAAACAGCATGAGAAAAAGTAACATCACCCTGCCAACAAAAGTCCGCATGGTCAAAGCAATGGTATTCCCAGTAGTCATGTATGGCTGCGAGAGTTGGACTATAAGGAAGGCCGAGCGCCGAAGAATAGATTCTTTTGAACTATGGTGCTGGAGAAGACTCTTGAGAGTCCCTTGGACTGCAAGAAGATCAAATCAGTCAATCCTAAAAGAAATCAACCCTGACTGTTCCCTGGAAGCCCAGATAATGAAACTGAAGCTCAAATATTTTGGCCACCAAATGAGAAGGGAGCACTCACTGGAGAAGACCCTGATGCTGGGAAAGATTGAAGGTCAAAGAAGACGGGGACGGCAAAGGATGAGATGGTTAGTGTCATAGATGCAACGAACATGAAATTGAGCAAACTTCAGAGGATGGGGGAAGATAGGAGGGCCTGGCGTGATCTGGTCCATGGGGTTGCGGAGAGTCGGACTCGACTGTGCAACTGAACAACAACAACAAAAATTAGGCTCAGTTCTTGCATGTGAATAATCAGTTACCGGTCCCATGTGTACTTTTTGCCATAGTGCATATTGCTCTGTGTTCACATAACAGACTTAGGTTGTGAATTGCTCTGTGGTATACTGGAAGAAGGATGGAACACCCTGCCTCGTTGCAAGGCACTGGACAATATGCTGTTTGCACCCCTGGTATAGCTTTACACCTTGGATACCAGAAGGTTCCCATTGGAAAGGGACTGATTGCGAGTTTCATGGGCAATTAGTATGAAGATGTTTAAAATGTACTGCTTACCAGATTTTCATCCTTCCCTACCCAGGGCAGTGTACATGGTTCTCCCTTTCTTTATAACAACCCTGTGATGTGGGTTAGGCTGACAGTGACTGGTCCAAGGTCAGCCAATGACCTTCATGGCTGAGTGAGGATCTGAACCTGGATCTCCCTGATTCTGACACTGTAGCAACCCTGTCTAGAAGGCTGAAGTAATGTAGAAGGATACAGATTTTAAAATCCCAAATACTTCTGCTCAGTGGTACCTCATTCTGGAAGCTGATTCTAGAAGGCTGTGTCCATTTTTAATGGCAGGAGCAGAAAGCTGACATGCACTCTTTGGAGCTGGAGATAGCAGAAGAGTGATGACATCAGTGATGCAGCACTCTTTGATGTATACATGGCAAGACACTCCTACTGACTCACTGTTTCACTGGCTTTGACCCTCTTAGGGTTGCAACCAATCAACTGCACACATGTAATTGACTAGACAGAGCTACAGGAGCTCTTTGGAACCACAGTACAGCCTAACAGGAGCACTTTGATGTTGGTTTCCCCCCCTCCATAGGCCCTCAAATAGCTTCCTGATCTATGAGCAGAAATTCACACATGGTGAAAACTGAGAATGTTAAACTGAAAATATAACGTAATAAATCACACTGACACATGTAATGAGCCTTTCTTTGTAGATGATTTGTACTCAGCAAGGTTGCCTTTCTAGCCTTCTGCTCTTTGGAACAGCTAGGCAGGCACATCATGCAGATAAGAAGGCTTTCAAAAGACGGGACTTGATGACAAAGAATTGCTAGCACAAACCAAGAAACAACAACTGTTTAGAGATTCTGGGGAATGCAACATTTCACTCTAATGCAACAGACTCTTACAATACAACACAGAGGCATTAAGAAACAGATCAATGACATAACCAGCACAGACTCCTGTAGAGCTTCTTCTTCCTCTTCTTCTTTTTGCAAAGCAAATGTTTAGACTACATGGTTGTTGCTAATTTCTTATATTGGAACTGAGCTAGTAGGAAAAAAAGCTTAGAGTAAGAATGTGATAATGCAAAGCTGGGGAGAGGGCAAGATTTACCTTCGCTTGTCCACACACTCCATTTAAAAAACCACTCTCAACCTGTGTTTTAGATGTGAATGGATGGACCTCTGTATAAATGCATGTAAATCATTCTACCACATCTAAACTGGCCCCCATTATTTGTCTGAATAAAAATAACATAGTAAGGATATACAGAGGGCAGAAGTGGGGACTGGGTCCAATAGCTAAAACAGAAAAAAGTGGCATACATATACACAAACACATGTTCGCGCACACACATTTTTTATAAGCTGGTCTAGGGCAAAGCAGTTGAACTAGCAAAGATTCCAGATAGGATTGAGGCTTAAATAGTCCAGGGAAGCAGCCATGCTTATTCTGGGTGTTGTTGACTCTGGGACCTCATCCCGCAAGGACTTAGTTGGAGCTACAAACACACAGGAGCAGGCACTGTTCCTGTGCAGGGCTTCCTCCTTACATCTATGATGATGACCTTGTCTGCTAGGGAGAGTTTTATTCTTTTAATTTAGTGCAATATTGGAGTCCTAGAAATCACCAATGTGGCTCATCCTTAGCCCTCTTGAGATGTAGGTCTTTTCTCTTTAAATACTGAAAAGTTATTAGAAAAAATGTAACAATACTTGTTTGGTTTTTAACATTTTTATTATTTTCTTCCTACAAACACTACAAACTACAAACACTAAAACACTAAACTAAAGATAAGCTACACAAGGATCATACAAAATGATTACTCATTAGCTTAATCAAAGTTCCCTACAGCTTCTATTACAAACTGGTATTTGTATGTTTAAATCAGGTAAGTACAGCTTAAATAATTAAACCTTCAAGCTTATAAAATTATATTATTTCAATTTCTTTCCTCTATATTTCTTTTTGTCAAAATTCCATTGGGCTTTCAGGGGTTTTGGGGCCTTTTTCTGATTCGGAGTCCTCTTCTGGTTTACTGCTCACCGTACATTCCGAACTTCCTGACCCATATGTGCTGCTTTCTTCTTTCATGTCTTGTTCCTCTGTAGATCTCTTATCATTCAATGGTCTTTGATGCAGTTCCAAAAACATCTTCACTTTTAAGACAGAGTCTATCTTTTTTTTAAATCTTTATAGTTGAAGACCAGTCCCTCAGGTATTATCCATCTATATGGTGTGGAGTTTTTCTGCAAAAAGCTGGCTAAGTTTTTATACTGTTTCCTCTTCTTTCATATTTCGAATGGTATGTCTTTTAAGACTCTGATTTCTTCGTCTTTTATTTTTGGGGTTGTCCCATTTGTGGCCTTGAGCACAACGTCTCTTGTAGATCTCTTTGAGAATCTCACCATTATCTCCCCAGGCAGGGTTTTTTTCTTGATGAATTCTGGATATGTCCGGTAGATCATATCCATATTGCTTTGTAATACATCTGCAGTTGAACCTGTCATTGGGGCCAACGCTTCACTTAAGATTTCCTTCAGATTCTCACCCTTTTGTTCAGGAACAACTTGAAATCTCAGAGCAAAATTTGATTTTTC